CTTGGTTTCAACTGCTCCACTAGGTATTGCATTTGCTCTTTTAACATGGGTAAACCTAACCAAGCACAGTTAAAGTGGACGGGCGATTTGGACCTTGCGTTGTTACGCGAGGTTCTTCGTGTGAAGCCTTACGACGGCGAGCACGGTACATTGATTCAGCGATGGAAAGAGGTAGCTGCCAGTCTCTCGTTGTACTCGAACCAAGGCATCCCCCACCGCTCTGCCCGCGACCACTACGAGGGACTGGTACAAGCATTCAAGGCAACGGACAAGTCCCAGCGACAGTGGGGTACGGGCAGCGACGAAGACGTGCCAGAGCAAGTTCAACTTCTTCAAGATCTGGTGGACCGACGTGACGCGGCCGACACTCTCAAGACCGCTGTAAAGTCCAAAGACAAGAAGCGCAAGGAGTCATTGGAATCTACTGGGTCGCAACTGTGTGTCGAGGCGGAGCAGCGTGTATCAAAACGGCAACGCCCTATGTCGGCCAAACGTGAGCAATCTGACGCTATAGTTGATGAACTACTCGAATTCGAGATTAAGAAACAAATGGATGATCATAGGTTTCGAATGGAGCGTCTAAAACCGTGAAGAGCAACAGCTACCAAAGGCTCAAATGGCCGAGGATGCACAACGCGGCGCACTGTTGGAAAAAATATTCATTGACATGGGGATGTTAGTGAAATCAATTGTGAATAAAAAGGAATAAAAACCATTTTATTGATTGAAATTAAGGTACTCTTCAAGTGTTGGTGGTGATACCCCAAAGTACATACTGTTACACACAAGTAATGCAATTTGTTAACAGAACTGCGACTTTGTACATTTTGGCTGCTGGGCTACCTCCAACTCGCATTTTTTTTTGAAATCGACAATTGGTCGTGGCGGCGTCCTTCGATTGGGCCAAACGCGTGTGATATGATGCCATCCGGGGTGACCAACGTTTGGAACTTGATTGCCTGACGTCTTTTGTGACCGTTAAACACGGATCGCTGTCTTTCGTCTCCGGCAGGGCGACAACACTCACGAACTGTCCCATCAATGAACGCCCACACATTGTGTACCTCACCACCCTTGTCGACAATCGCTTTGCTAATGGACGCCAACTTGGTGCGAATCCGGTTGAAGTCGAGATATATCGTGTCACGGAACTTGTTGTAGATGAGGTCGAGAGTTTGGAGGTAGATGTTACATAGGCAACTGCACGAGCGGCCAAACATCGCCATCAAGTCGTACCACCGGTCGGGAACAGCAAACTGGCGCAGCACGATGCAAAGAGCCTCGATACCAGTGCAGGCTGTGCGCTCAGCCGTCACCATACGTACTGGAATGTTCAAACACCTTCTGAGTCGTTTGAGGTCTTCCTTCACAAACCAGAACTTCTCCTTCGAGTCGGCGTCGGAGTACTTGTCCAACGAGAAAGTCACATCTGGTATTGTCAACCGCTCTAAAGCGGCTTGGCGTCGAATCAGCAACAAACGCAGACACAAGCTGGCCGTGGAGTGCCGTAGCAATCGAAGTCGTGGGGATTGCATTGTCGAATGCACACTAGCCACGTGTTTTGCATAGTCCGTGAACCAGACTTTGCAAAACACGTGGCTTTGAGACTTCTGACTTTCAGTCGTTTAAATATCGAACGAAGTTGAAAGCTGGAAATATTGCTAAATTTTTGACTTGCAAAACATCTCTATTGAGGTCTGTAGAATATACGTCTAATTTCCTGAATTTTTGAGTAATGAATATGAAATAGAAGTCAGAAATGTTTGTGAAAAGTTGGTCGTTTATAGGTGACGTGCACCATACACTGTAAAACGCTTGTACGCAGTAAAAACTACAGTGCACTGCTTAAGTAGTGCTAAGGAAACCGTAGGGAACTTATTCGGGGTAGGCACGGTGTGAAACAGCCTCCCATGTGTGCTGCAGTGCGTTTCGTAAGTCCGCGTCACTTTGGACCCACTCATATTGCTATTTTATCCTAACACCGAGAAGAACATGCATGGACAAGAACACCGAGCGGAAAATGGACATGAACACCGAGCAGAACATGCATGACATGAACACCGAGCAGACCATGCATGACATGAACGTACCTTGCATCCTCCAACACAATTCTCGAATGACGCCATGCCAGAATTGTGGTGCCACGACAGTCTAATTATACACCAATATATAACCAATGGAATAGTTGTGTCATTGTTTTTGTATTTGCGTATTGAACATCTTTCGCGGCTGTTCTACACAGAGCCAGCTAGCAAGGCGGTCGGATAAGTATTTGGGGCGGATGTTCTCTCGCGAGATCACTGTCACTATGCCATTTGTGGATGGACTATACAGGTACAGTCGCATGAGGCTATGGGACACCAAGTGTCGTGATTGTCCAAGGTACTTGAAGCACAAGAAATG